AAACCCCTAAACCCCTAAACTTCAAGGCTGAGCTTGAGCAACCTGGGGGAAGCTTATCGAAGCCTCTTGGCCCAACATGTTACGTTCTGTTGGGTGAAGAATATGGGAGTTTCAGAAAATTAGGGGTGCCTTATTTTGGGGTCCTTATAATAGGGGGATCCTACTATTTAGGGTACTATATTAGGGTCCCCTATTTTTGGAAACCCCCATATAGTGATATAGTGGGCTTTGACATTAGAATAGGGTTTGGGGGGGCATATTGTGCTATTAATATAATAAGGACCCCTCCCAAATCCCGATTCTAATTATTAAGGCCCCTACATTACTTAGCCCGAGTCGTGACTCTTTAGAGTTTGGTAGTCAACCCCAAAATATGTTGAACGTGAGCATTTCCGGCACGACTTCAGGACGGTTTCGGTTTAGGGCTTAGATGGGAAACTCGCGCGATTTCGATTCAAAATCAGGGAGCCCAAATCGCTAGCGTTTTGGAACCATCCACCTGCTGTCGTTCATGTATGCGTTTTTGGAGGCTTGGAAAATGAAGTAAAAGCGCGAACTGGGCACGTTGGGGGCGGTGGGCCGGGAACGCGAGGGAGTACAGTATTTTCCATCGAAAGGATTTTGCACAGCGGCTCTCGCAGAGAATACAAGCGTGCTCGATGCCGGGATTGAGATTTTGGCTTTGGAGGTTAATTGAGGTCGGCAACTTACACAGCGATTTGGAACTTCTGTTCGCAGCTCGAAACCCAAATCCTGCGATTTGCGATTTGGGCACTGCCCACAAACAATTGGAAAGCGGTTTGGGGGTTGCGAGTGCAAATCGCTAGCGTTTAGCGACTTGGCCTTCTCAAGTTTAGGGTTTAGGGGCTGAGGTTTCAGGGGTGCAAATCTCCGAACCCTAAACCCAGTCCAAGAACCTTGAGTTTAGGGTTTAGTGTCAGGTCTTTGGTGGCAGACTTCTTGCTGGACCTGATCGACCTACGAGGGCAGGTGCTGCAGGCAGTGCTGTCAACAAAGCTTGGGATGTGGGATGTAGGGCTTTGGGAGTCTACCCTAAACCCTAAACCCTAAACCCTAAACCCTAAACCCTAAACCCTAAACCCTAAACCCTAAACCCTAAACCCTAAACCCTACCCTGCCCCCCGACCTACCGCCCCTAAACCTGAAACCTCACCCTACACCCTAAACCCTGAACCCCCGACTCCCAACCCCACAACCCTAAAGGTTTTAGGCCCTTAAAAACCCTATGCACTCCGACCCCAGCGCCACAACTGGAAGGGCTCCCTTCCTGCGCAAAATGCAGCCGGATCGCGCGTTTCGTACCCAAAAACATCCAAAACGGAGAATCGGACTGCACTTTGTGTAGGACAAGAAGGGTTTCTCCCTTCCTGTGCAAAGTGCTGCAGGATCGTGCGTTTCGTACCCAAAAACACCCTTGTTTCTAGTGTTGCATAGCAAGCCGAGCCCCAACGGAACCATTTACACCCAACAAAAAGGAAAAACCTGATCACGAAAGCTAGGGTACCCTCCGGTTCTTTATTTTGAACCAACCTGAACTTTGTGAATCCCGCCGGGGGTAGGGGCTAAGGTTCTCAAACAGTGGGTTCTTATACAGGACGTTCACTGTACCTCACCAAACCCTTTCCGAGTGCGCATCGAAATATGGTTGCATACAACCCTTCTAGTAACTGTTCGTAACCCCTTGAAGAATCAAAGGGGCTCTATTCTAAAAACCCAGGCTCTAGTATAGGGGCCTCAATACTTACCAATACCCCGCTCCTTATGACAATTATAGCCTAAACCAACTATAGCATGCTAGTTCTCATTGTCAAGGCCCCACATGAACTGTTTGCAACCCCTCCAAGCATCAAAAGGCTACGATTCTAAAGGCCCAGGCTCTACTGCAGGGGCCTTACTAATTAGAATAGGGTTTGGGGGTATATTCTACTACAAGTATAGTAGGGAGCCCCCCAAAACCCTATTCTAGTTGTTAAAGCCCCTACATTACGCTTTAAGCCCTTAAACAGGAGCCCTCGCCTTCGAAACCTTGGGTTTCGGGATGTGACTGGTGAGGGGTGCATCACCCTAAACCATCCTAAACCCTAAACCCTAAACCCTAAACCCTAAACCCTAAACCCTAAACCCTAAACCCTAAACCCTAGTTTGGGGGTGTACTTAGGGCTTTCGGGGTTTAGGGGCTTAAGTTCAGGGTTCCTGGTTTGGGGGTTCAGGGCTCAGGGTTTGGGCACTGGGGCCCTGAACCCGATGTTCACCTAAGTTCTGCACCATCTGAAGTAGAGTTTATCCCGGGGTTTTTGGTGAGTTTATAGACGCAGCGAGCTTGATGAGTGCATATTGTAGTTGTTACGATGAGAAGACTACATTCATACATGTCGGGGGATTCCCGGGGGTTGCGCTGGTCTTGTATGTTTTTAAGGACATAGCCTCAGTTGCGATCTTAAGACCGTAACTGTTTTGGGTTTCCTTGGGGTTCTTCTGTCTAGAACGCTAGCTTTTCGAAGGACGTCTAAGTACCATGATGGTACTGCGTATTATACAAAGTCCTACAAAGCGGTTAGACCATAGACCCTGAAACCGTACAGGAGAACCCGAATGCCTCGGCCCTCTCCTAAACCCTAAACCCTGAACCCTATACCCTAAACCCTAAACCCTAAACCCTAAACCCTGAATCCTAAATAATTAAACTTCACACCCGTAACTGCTAAGCCCTCAAGCCCCTAAGGCCCCAGAGAAACCAAAAGTTCTCGGTTCTGGAGGATTTCAACAGCCTGGCTGTGACTGGCCTTGTCGGAGAGGGTGAGGGGCGCAGAATGTGGATCGTGAACGACAACGGAGGTTACTGGGATAGGAGCTACGAAACCCAGCTGATATCTCTGCGCACGCCCCTGGACTAGGGCACAGCCCAGCTTCTCACAGCCGAAGCATCAGCAGGACGTATGTACAGAAGTAGCTTCAACCTCGACACAGGTGGTATTGTGATTGACGTGTCGAGTCTTTTGCTTCTTCATCTCGTAGCAAGTAATACCGAAGAAGCCATATTGGTAAAGTGATCACAACATGGCTGTGAACATACCGTGAAGTCGTTGCTGATCACACTAGTTGGTCGCGAAAGCTTGAGTCGACTGCCATAGGCACCCTCAGTGCTGCCAGTACTGCTGCTGCTGCTGCTGCTGCTGCTGCCGGAGATGATGCTGCTCATCGATTGTATCAGCAAGGACGACGGCAGTGACCATTGTGATGACATTTGTGATGTTCGTGGTTGTCGTGAAACTCTTGTTGCTTCTCTGACTAGAATGCTGCCAATCATACCACAGATGATGCAGTAGTTAATGTTGCTGCTGTTGTTCCTGGCACTTCTTGTAGTTGTTGTTGCTGCCGCCGGTGACGGTGGTGACGATGGTTTACGGCGACGACGATGATCATGATAGTGGTAATGATGATGAAGATATTGGTGATGATGCTCATGGTGCTGCTGCCAATGCTGCTGTTGATGATGATGACGATGATGGTGGTGATGATGCTGGTGATGGTGATGATGTTGTTGAGGATGATGATGACTGCGGTGATGATGCTAGTAGCTGCTAGTGTCAGCAGCAAAAACAGCGAGTGTCAGCAACAAAAACACTTCAAAGATTGCAGAATGCCCAATTACGAATGACAATCCTTATCAACGACGAGGCAAACACATGTCACATGTTTTGAGTATGCTGCGGCAGACGCGGGCACACACGCACACACAGAGACAACAGGGAACAACAAAGAGGAACTGGCAACCATAATCGAAAACGATAGCGCCTGCATCAGCGACTACAATACCAAGAGAGCAGCAACAACGGCAGAATCACCAGCTCCAATACAGACAACGACAGCAGCCAATGGCTTTTGCCTTGGACCCCTCCCCCAACCTCTCCCTGCGGCAAAAACAAATGTTTCGTGCAATTGCGCTTAACCCTCGACATTGGCGACGACAAACTGCAGTAGGGCTCTCGGCGGCTGGGGGGAAAGCATGCCGACAGCGGCGGAACAGCGCCACTGGCAGCAGACACGAAGCACGGTTTAGGGCTGAGGGTTTAGGCGCGTGAAGAACCTAAACAGCAGAAGCCGCCGACGTGGCAGCAGGAGCCGCATAGGTCATTTACCACCCAACTTGAACCTATTGCAAAACCTGCACCAGGAATGGTCGAGACGACGGTGATACTGTTGACGAGAATTAGTCTATCAGTATTAACCGAGGTGATGATGATTGTCATGCTGCCGAAAAGGTGGTATGCAATACTCTTCAATCCCGAACAAAAGCAGCCACAGTTAAGACAAGCTCAAGAGATAAATGTGCTTTGCTGAGACGACTGTGAGAAAAAGGGCAATATAGTATCATGGTGGCTCATTGGTTTTGAAAGTTTCTGGTCCAAAGAGGCCAGGAGAACAGAAGCTGCAAGCTCCTTTTGGAGCAAAGCTCTTTGTGCAGTACGTATAGCTCCTATCATGCATGGAATTTCGGGCCGATCGGCCAAAGCGATCCGTTCATTAAGCTTGAGAGGCCCCTAAACCCTAAACCCTACAGAAGGGACTGTCATGGGGCCTGGGTTTTTGCAACCCCACTGTTTCGCATGTTTTCAGGGTTGCTTTGCATGCTTCGGAAGGCCCTCCATTACACCCTACACCCGAAACTGCTTCGGAAGGCCCTCACCCTACACCCTAAACATCCCTAAACCTTCTGCAAAACCAAACCAAACAAACCAAACAAACCAAAAAAAACATTGATTTCCACACTAGTCTGAAGGATTCCGACTAGTATGGAAATCAATGTTTTTTTTGTTTTTTTTTGTTTTTTTGTTTTTTTTGGTTTTTTGGTTTCCGCTGCAGGTGACGCGCTCGGACAACTTCACGTGACTGCTCTTTTGGGTTGGGTTAAGGGTCCACGTAAACAAGATTATTGTCTAACCTATCTTATGCTATACTT